AACATGAACCACACCCATCCGGGGCAGGAAAAAACCTTAGAAATAGCTTTAGAAAGACTTCAAAAAAATTGAGGCAAAAAGTATTTTAGGGCAATACAGTGTTAAAATCAGAACCTCCTTAATCCCCTCCATCTCTCACTCTGTTCATTAAGATCTTAACCTACTGAAGTTCAGCCTTGTGATGTGTGCGTGTGCGTGCGTGTGTATGTGTGTGGACACTACTTTGCGTTTCTGGGGAACAGGACACGCATAAATACCTTACAGCTTACTTTCTCTAAGATCCCACAGCGTCACTCGGAAAACTATTCACTGAAAAACAAAACTGTTTAAAATGTTAACATGCTATTTCAGTAATTGCCTTTTATTTAATGTTTCATGGTCCGTTGTCACTTCACCTAGCTTTTAAAACAAACATTTTAAGAAATGCTTTTCAAACGTAGCGAAATAGCGGGAGGCCGCATAAAGCCATTACCTAGTGCACTCGGCATCTCCAGACTCAGGTTCTGAACTCAGGATGTTTCCTAAGGCCCCGTCTCCATATGTGTCTGTCAGCTGGAGAGGCTACTGAAGAGGGCTCAGCCATGGACTTGGTATAGAATTAAAATTTACCACTGAGGGGAGGAGGTCCCCACAATTAAATACTTTTAGGAAACACTGCATATTAGACATCCTTTAGAAAGCCCCAAAAGCTCTGAGAACACTGTAACAGAAACCTGCAAAACCCAATGCAACCAAACTCATTGGGTCAGGTAGCGCCTACTGACATCTCCAAGAATGGGACTCCCTTGGAAACACTACTTCACTCAAACCCACCTATGAAGCCGCCCCTCAGCTATCTGGCAGCCCACCAGGCAGTCTGAGACCCTCACGTGATACCTTCTCCCACTTAGCCACCCTTAGCCACCCCCACCAAGCCATGAAGCCCAATTACGACCACAGTTAGATTCAGCACACAGCCAAATGCTGTGTAGGCCCAACCTCATAAAATACAGTATAAGCGATATTAGTGGCAAATTTCATTATTCCAAAAACTCATGAGAATAATGGGGTATTCACATTTTCTAATGACACACCTGGATTTTTTAAGTCACACAACCTCAATGTTCTTAAGTTTCCACATCTTTTCTTACTATGTACAATGAGTAAAACATGCACATCCACATCAGACTAGCCAACACATCGTCTTTCTAGAACCAATCCCATCATTCAAGTTACTGCTTAAACTCTGAAATGAGAGTATGAGAGAAAAAAAAAACCAGAAAAGGAAACCACAACAGAGGGTTCCAACAATATTTATATCACATTATTCACACCTCTTATATGTGGTTTCAAACTCTTAAGTCTCTAATTAACCAAAGGGACTAAAAACAGTTTGGTTTTCAGGAACTACAGCAGGGATCTCTCGCACACGCTCACAGGGGAGTCACTGAAGTGGTCGGCCTGGGGCCACGGAGCACACAGGCCCTGCATGCCCCCCCTACCCCCACAGCAGCAGGGGCCCCTTCCTCAGACAAGGGGCTGGCAGGAGCGAGGGGCTAGGGACAGCTAAGAGAGGAAGGCAGAGAGATGGGGGCCACAGAGGCTGCAACCCGTCCTGTCAAACTTTCAGGACATGAACTTCTAATTTTTCAAGTGACAATTCTTTTTCCAATTTACAAAGCAGAAAACCACACTACCTGAATAGTAAACTATAAGAATTAGGTGCATGGATAGAATCGAATGGTATGATCAAATTCAGTTCAAAATACAAATGATCTGACACTGAGCACATTCATGTATAATTACCATGGCGAGTCGAATACAGTAAGCAAGTCACCTAAACGCCTGCCCTTCACCTGGCCCAAAGCTCCTGCTCTGGCCCTCTCTCATCACCATCAGGTCAGCGTCTTTAATAGGAAACAGCCCTGAGATCTCTCTCTTCAAACCCAAGTCCTCTGAGCCAGCTGAGGGTCTTTCTTTGAGCTGCTGCCCCAGCTCCCCAACCCTAAGCCACCAGGAAACTCTAAGAAACGGATCAGGAAGCTATTGCCCTGCCTTACTCTGCCCTAACCCTGGCCTGTGGCCCTCCTGTCCCAAACAGGTGCCTTCAACCATGTTCCCCACACACATCTCTGCCCTGACTAAAAGCGCACGTGTTCCAGTGACAACTGCCTGGCTTATCTGTTTCTTTCTCTCATCACACCAAAGAAAAAGCCAGCAGGAGCGAGTCTGGCCCCAATGACTTTCCCTTTCAAATGTGTCGCTTGCCCTTCCGCCATGCCACTGCCATGCTCTTGGACTTCCCAGCCTCCAGAATCATGAGACATAAATTTCTTTTCTTTACAAATTACCTAGTCTCTGGTATTTCTGTTATAGCAAGAGAAAGCAGACTGAGATACATAATATGCCACTGGAGCGAGAGGATGGCACAGGGAACCCTAAGTACTTTCTTCACATGTGGGAAATTCCACTAACAATTTTTAAAAAGCAAATACCTGAGAGGATTACCTATAAGTGAAAGACACTTCAGATCCCAGGTAATTAAAAGGTCACACACTACATATTGAATATGCTAGAAATATTTTCCACACGTTTCTTTTCAGTATGGTACAAATGAATACCAGCTAAATGTGCTCTAGGGGCTCCAGTCATAAACTAATCGCCAAACATGGTTTTTCATCAAGAGATCCAAATTCCAAGAGTGTGTTTTAAAAACAAGTTAAAAGATGGACACAACTCTCAACACTTATGGCACATTCAGTAGAGGGTAAAGGGACCGAATAATTATTTGCTCAAAGGCTGCAGCAGAAAGTCAGAGACTAAGAATGTTGCTACTCTGTTGACAGTTCTGCCAATGGACCAGTTCTAATTTCCCGAATATAAAATGCAGGCAGAAACTTGATTAAAACCAGAAAAAGTAATACCAAACTTGGTAAATTATTAAACCAAGAACTGAAGATAGAATTAAATGCATTTAACCATCTGAAGTTCATAACCTCCTGACAGCACATGAAAGTTCACTGTTTGTATTGCTGCCTTTCATCAAAACTGTGCTTTCTTCACAGTCCACAAAAGAAAAAGCAAGGACTGCAGACGGCTTAATGCTCCCCGTAGAAAGTGAACACAACGGTGGGAGACTTGGGAAGGAGAAGAACACATAAGAGCCAGAAATGATCTTCCTAATATTTCTACAGTAGTCAGAGCTAAGTGTGACCTTGTGCTTAAAAGAATATACTTGAAAGTCACAAAGATGATCTTAAGGGGTTGGATAGAAAAAAAGGTTAACACTGAAAACTTTCCCTCTTCTAAACTATGTACAAATTGCCAGGAAGGAAATGTTCACAACAAGGCACGTGACTGCCTCTCACCAAAAAAAGCGTACAATGGACCCCACTGATCGTGGCCAGCGCCACAAACACCGCAGCCACTGCGCAGACACTGTGCGGTCCATCGTGTACCTACAGGGCCCACCATGCAGATTCCCCGTGACTTCACACACCTGCAATGGCCGAACACGCAAAAGGGAGATGTGAGATCTACTAAGGAAGATGGAAAGATCATACTCGGGTTAAAATCAACTTCCCTCAGTAGCTATTCCTTAAATTCTAAAGACTTTTTACTTTCAAACAGAAGTGAAAGTTCACTCCCAGAAGATTTTCCCAAGATTGCAAATGAAAATTTCTTTCAACCCTGTAACCTAACTTCTTAGAAAGAAAGAAAAAAAACTTAAAACAACAAAAATTCACTATGATACTTATTCTGATATATCCAATAAGGCAACAGAGCAGGAGGAAGCAGACTCTCTGTCAACAACAGTCAAGCCTGCCCCGGGTCCCAATCCATTTCCTGGTCTGCAACTTTGTTCTGGCAAATGCAGATCTCTGGTCCACCATGCCTTCCCTGGGTCAAGATTTGAAGCTGTACCTTCTAGAAAGGCCAGAAATTAGTCTCTGAAATTTGGACACACATCAGAATCAGGTCAGGGTCACCACCACAGTGGTTAATGGCAACCCCCTTGATAGCCTCTCCCTTAATGCAAGCAAGAAAGGAAACATTCTTTCAACTTGTCCCCAAAGGACAACAGTAGATCATGGTGGCAAGAACAAAGCCCAGTGTACAGTGATGGGCAGACACAAAGCCATAAATAGCTGTATATGAGTTCAAGACCTCCATCTCAGGGGAACTCCTGTCCTCAACCAGGAGAAAGCTGCTGGAGATTTCTTTAACTCCACTCATTTCTATGCCCAGCAGAGGAAGGGCCATTGGCTACCCGAGGTAGCTGAACCCTAGCCTTGGCTGGAAGCAACAGAAACAGCCTCCAGTGTACACCCGCCCACGTGTCAAACAAGTGTGGATGGACGCAGGGTCGGGCCTGATGAGGAAGGCACATGGCTATATGGGCGACACTGACAGAGCAGCTTACCTCTGCGGAAGTCTGTCGTTGTCAGGGCCATGTGCCCACTGTCCATCGGGCTGCCATCCCTTTGAGGAGAGGGAGACACTGATGGGAAGCAAAGGATCTTCTAAAGCAAGTTCTTACCGCAAGCTGGCCCAAAGGTCCCTGCAATCAAAGAAATCATTGTGGTTTTGCATCTGGCAAAACGTTTCTGCCCCCTTTCTTCTAGGGACAAGGCTGTCAGCCTCTGAACAGGATCTCAACTTTCAAAAGGAAAAGTGTCCTGAAACACAGATCCACCTGGGTATAAAAAAGATGAGAAACACAAGAAATCTTCAAGCTACACCTCAGTGTGGAAAGCGAATGTAAAAGCAATGTCTTCTCCAAGAAGAGCTGCATATCGACTGCTACTTTTAAAGAACCAATGTTTTCTACCAAACATTTCAACTTAAGCCAACTCCATCTCATTACACTTGTTAACGCTCTTGATCAATAATGATTCCAAAATCTGTGTACCATCATACACCAGCCTTGGCTGGAAGCAAGAGAAAAAGCTGGTATATAAATGCAAATTGCAGATGATTAGCTTCTGTAAGCACTGGTCTATAATCAACCTTGTCATTGACCTATCTCCACTGAGTCCATTTATAATGACAGCAAAAAGTCATTAGATCCAACTGAAGCATATAATCTAAAAGCCAATCTCAAGTGTCGGCTGAGCCAGTCTCCAGTTACTAACGACCTGCAGTCTTCCGTGCGTGGCAATGACGGTGAAAACCGAGGCTGCTAGGGGCACGCTCACTTACTCCAGAATGAGGGGAATGGTGGCAATTCTCATCGCTTTCATGAAACAGAGGAGGATGGGGCTGAACGACTTTATTCAGAAGATTGCCAATAACTCCTATGCATGCAAGCACCCTGAAATTCAGTCAATCTTGAAAATCTCCCAGCCTCAGGAGCCTGAGCTTATGAATGCCAACCCTTCTCCCCCACCAAGTCCTTCTCAGCAAATCAACCTTGGCCCGTCATCCAACCCTCGTGCTAAACCATCTGACTTTCACTTCTTGAAAGTGATTGGGAAAGGCAGTTTTGGAAAGGTTCTTCTAGCAAGACACAAGGCAGAAGAAGTGTTCTATGCAGTCAAAGTTTTACAGAAGAAAGCAATCCTGAAAAAGGAGGAGGAGAAGCATATTATGTCATAGCGGAATGTTTTATTGAAGAATGTGAAACGCCCTTTCCTGGTGGGCCTTCACTTCTCTTTCCAGACTGCTGACAAATTGTACTTTGTCCTAGACTACATTAACGGTGGAGAGTTGTTCTACCATCTCCAGAGAGAACGCTGCTTTCTGGAACCACGGGCTCGTTTCTATGCTGCTGAAATAGCAGTGCCTTGGGTTACCTGCACTCTCTGAACATCGTGTATAGAGGCTTAAAACCTGAGAATATTTTGCTAGATTCCCAGGGACACACTGTCCTTACTGACTTTGGACTCTGCAAGGAAAACATTGAGCACAATGGCACGACATCTACCTTCTGTGGCACACCTGAGTATCTCGCACCTGAGGTGCTGCATAAGCAGCCCTACGACAGGACTGTGGACTGGTGGTGCCTCGGGGCTGTCTTGTATGAGATGCTCTATGGCCTGCCTCCTTTTTATAGCCGAAACACAGCTGAGATGTACGACAACATTCTGAACAAGCCCCTCCAGTTGAAACCAAATATCACAAATTCCGCAGGACACCTCCTGGAGGGCCTGCTGCAGAAGGACAGGACTAAGCGGCTGGGGGCCAAGGACGACTTTATGGAGATTAAGAGTCATGTCTTCTTCTCCCTAATTAACTGGGATGATCTCATTAATAAGAAGATTTCTCCTCCTTTTAACCCAAATGTGAGTGGACCCAGCGACCTGCGGCACTTTGATCCCGAGTTTACCGAAGAGCAGGTCCCCAACTCCATCGGCAGGTCCCCCGACAGCATCCTCATCACGGCCAGCGTCAAGGAAGCGGCCGAGGCCTTCCTAGGCTTCTCCTACGCACCTCCCATGGACTCATTCCTCTGAACAGTCTTGGGGTTGCTTTTGAAGGATCTTGTGTGTGTTCAATGTTTTAGTTAGCCTTTTGGCGGAGCTGCCAGCTGACAGGACATCTTAAAAGAGAATTTGCACATCTCTGGAAGCTTAGCAATCTGATTGCACACTGTTTGCTGGAAGCCTTTCGAAGAGCACATCCTCCTCTCAGTGAGCTCACGAGGTTTTCGTTTCTATTCTTACTTCCAAGGTGGGGCTATCTCTGAAACGAGCGTTAGAGCGCCGCCGTACACAGATGCAGGAGTCTCGTTAGAAGGAAGGCGCTGTTCTAAGAGTGGTCTCCTGCCAGTCTGTCCAGGCTGTGATAACGAATATTATGACATGTGCCTTTTCTGAAGAGCTCATGTTAGCTCCAAAGCTTTTCCTATTGCAGTGTTTTCAGTTCTTTATTTTTCCATGTGGACTTACTGTGTGAACAGTGGAATGAGTGTGGTGTGCGTGATCACAGATGGATTTTGTTATGAGCATCAATGTGACACTTGCAGGACACTACAACGTGGGACATTGTTTCTTCCATATTTGGAAGATAAATTTATGTGTAGACTGGTTTTTTTTTGTAAGATATAGTGAATAACTAAAATTTATTGAAATGGTCTTGCAATGACTTGTATTCAGATGCTTAAAGAAAGCATTGCTGCTACAAATATTTCTATTTTTAGAAAGGGTTTTTATGGACCAATGCCCCAGTTGTCAGTCAGAGCTGTTGGTGTTTTCATTGTTTAAAATGTCACCTGTAAAATGGGCATTATTTATGTTTTTTTTTTTTGCATTCCTGATAATTGTATGTATTGTATAAAGAAAGTCTGTACATTGGGTTATAACACTAGTATATTTAAACTTATAGGCTTATTTGTAATGTAAACCACCATTTTACTGTACTGTAATTAACATGGTTATAATATGTACAATCCTTCCCTCCTGCCACACAACTTTTTTTGTGTGTGATAAACCAATTTTGGTTTGCAATAAAACCTTGAAAAATATTTACAAAAAAAATAAATAAATAAAAGCCAATCTCATACTAAGTCAACCAAAAATAATCAAAATTCAGTAAACTAAGTTGAGTACCTAATCTGGTATAATAATGCTTGGTCTACTTAACAGGTTATATAAATTACTTTCAGCAATTCAAACTGCAATAGCCAACAGCCACCCACTGTCAAAACATTAACACTTTCTAACTAGCTCCACAGCTAGTAAAACTATTTATATTTGTCCTATTAATATTATATATCATCTCACAATTTCCTTTTTAAAAAATATCTGCTTTTCCTCAAAGAAACACCTGCTGATAGTTGATCCTGGCCACTGCAGTAATGTGAATGAGTAACAGAAATCAGAATACTGTATTTACAGTTATCTGTGTATCAAGTATACAAAGAAAGGAATAACAAAAAAGAATCTATTCATAAAGAGTTTTGTGAGGGAGAATATTTCTGTGTTTTAAAAGTTTGATTTAAATATATGTTTTAGCTAACAAAATGGAAGTAGGAAAGCCAGCATGGTGTCTCACACTTGAAATCTCAGCACTTTGGGAGGCCAAAGCAGGAGGATCACTGAATCCAGGAGTTTGAGACCAGCCTGAACAACACAGCAAGACCCCATGTCTACAAAAAATAGAAAAATTAGCCAGGTGTGGTCACACGTCTGTAGTCCCTGCTACTCAAGAGGCTGAGGCAGGAGGATCGCTTGAACCCAGGAGTTTGGGGTTGCAGTGAGCTACTATGATGCCACTGCACTCCAGCCTGGGCAACAGAGCGAGACCCTATCCCCCCTCCACCCTGCCAAAAATAAAAAGAGGAAGAAAGAAAAAAAAAATCACCCACAAATTAATTTACTTCTCTAAAGATGAATCACCACAACAGGGACAAAAGGACTCTCAAACATGCTAATAAAACCTTTAGGTCTGGTGGATTGAGGCAAAAACCCAAACCAGTCACCCACTCCAGAAATGACCAGGAACTAATCATCCACATTAGTCGATTCTCCACAGCCCAAAGAATCTCAATGATCAGACAATTAAAAAAAAAAAAAAAGCAATGTTACAATGAACCTAAGGATGCAAGGATAAAGAGGAAATGAATAGAAGTCATCGGGGAGGATGCAGCATTGCAGAAAGCTAGTTTCTGAAAAAGTAACTGAAATGGCTGCAATAAGACGGAATGTAACTGCTGCGCGGTTGTTGCAAAGGCAACCACAAGAACCATCCACAGGTGAAGAACAAAGCGGTGCAAACGAAGGAAGGTGCAGGACCACAAAACCAAGACAAGATTCTTGGCAGACGGGTACGAGCCAAGGAGAGGGAGGGGAGAGGGCTGCCCTGCAGCAGTCGTGAGACAGCTGTCTCCGCGGCCACAGCAGCTCCTCACTACTGTCAGCATGGCCCAACTTCTCCGCCACACACACAGGGGACACTTTTGGACGTTGGCTGAGCTTCTGGAGCTATGTCAGGGTGGGCCGCAGCTGCTGGCACAAATTCAAATTCATTCACTCAGCACCTATAGGTGCAAAGATGAGCAGCACACCTAGGCGCTAAAACCACAGACACATGTTAGGCAAGAATTTCTCCTGCTCAACTACGATGTTAGTCCTTTTTGCATTGCTATAAAGAGAAGACTGAGACTGGGTAATTTATAAAGAAAAGAGGTTTTATGTGGCCCAGAGGTCTGCAGACTGCACAGGCATGGCGCCGGCATCTTCTGGTGAGGGCTTCAAGGAGCTTCCAGCCAAGGCAGAAGGCGAAGGGGAGCAGGTGCGTCACGTGGAGAGAGAGCAGGACCAAGAGTGGGAGGAGCAGGGCCAGGCTCTTTTAAGCCAGCTCTCACATGAATGAAGAACTAATAAAGCGAGAACTCACTCCTTATCAGGGGAGGGTACCAAGCCATGCATGGGGGAATCCACCCCCATGACCCAAACACCTCCCAATCAGCCCAACCTCCAACACTGGGGATCAGCCTTCAACATGAGATTTGGAAGACCCAAACATCTAAACCGTATCGACTACCCAAAAAACAAGGTGGCAGTAAATAAAAATTCAACACTAGAACGAATACGGACTTTTGAAGGGTCCACTGTCTTGCTATTTGCTCAAGCTTCAGTGGGATTTCACTGGCCACATTTCACTGGCTAAGGGAGTACTGACCTGTGAGCAGATGTGGCTTCCCCAAGGCAGTGCTGGCCAACATAAATGGGCCAACAGGCGAGAATAAGCCATGGAGACCAGGACCAGCAAGGGTGCCTCTGACGAGGCAGTGCCACCATGTCCACTCAGCCAACGCCCCACTTCTCCTTCCCCAACTTTGTCAAATGGTGAAACTACTGACTAAATATCTGAAATACCCTCTGTAGAAAGGAGACAACTCACCAGAGAGAGGGAATCCAGTAAGGAAAATGGAGGAGATGTGGTAGGACAACCAGCTGTCACAGTGCAGGAAGGACACGGTGGACCAGGAACAAGGCATCCCTGGCCTGCAGTCCCAGCTCAACTACCAGCCGTCTGTGATAGAAAACAACGACCACTCGACCTCTCTGGGCCACACAATACCTTTCCAGCTCTAAGCATCTTTGATTCTCCATCTCTCTGACCATACAGAGGGAATGCCATATAAACAGCAAGCTGAGCCAAATCAAGCCAGACACTGAAAATAACTTAAAAGACAGACATGTCCAGTCTCTTTTGCAGATGTGGAAACTGGTCCCAAGATCGACCTCACTGCTGGTTTCATTCCCAGCCAAGACGAGATCTCCAGGGGAAGGTCTCTAGTTCTCTGGAGCCTAGTTCAGGATGACCAGAAAAGAACAGCAAGGTGACAGTGAGAAGCAAACAGTACCCCCGTCTAGCCAGGTCTAGTCTCAGCTTCAGGTGACAGTGAAAAGCAAACAGTACCCCCCGTCTAGCCAGGTCTAGTCTCAGCTTCTCTGTTGTACTTCCCAAGGCCAATCTGCAGCCCCTTCCCCCAACCCTGATGCCTCTACTTCAAGTCAAGATCAAGTAGTATCATCCCATAAACATAGGTGGCTCAAACTGCAGAGGGAAAGTATCAAAGGGGAACTTAAAACCAATGTATGAGGGCTATTTAGTGTTACAGTAAATTCGCTTCCCACGGCAGTCCAAGCACCCAGGATCCTGCCTCCTCCCCACAGCTATTTATCACTCCACATACTAAAAGGTGAAAGGCAAAATGTTAAAGCTAGTAGAAACAACCCAAATGTTCTTCAATAGGTCAATGTGGCTATCCATACTATGGTATACCACTCAACAATAAAAAGGAACAACTGATACATGTATGAACACGGATGAATCCCACATGCACTACACTAAGTGGAAAAAAGCCACTAACAAAAAGGTCGTATGCTGTGTGATTCCACTTATGACACTCTGGAAAAACCAAAACTGTACAGACAGACCAGTGGTTGCCCAGTCTGGGAGGAATTCTTCAAAATGTTGGAATTGTTCTGCATCCTATGTTGGGGTGGGAGGTGCAATCTATGCATATGTTTAAAACACATAGAATGTACACACAAAAAAGTGACTTTTAGGCCGGGCGCGGTGGCTCACGCCTGTAATCCTAGCTCTCTGGGAGGCCGAGGCGGGCGGATTGCTCGAGGTCAGGAGTTCAAAACCAGCCTGAGCAAGAGCGAGACCCCGTCTCTACTATAAATAGAAAGAAATTAATTGGCCAACTAATATATATATATATATATATACAAAAAATTAGCCGGGCATGGTGGCAAATGCCTGTAGTCCCAGCTACTTGGGAGGCTGAGGCAGGAGGATTGCTTGAGCCAGGAGTTTGAGGTTGCTGTGAGCTAGGCTGACACCACGGCACTCACTCTAGCCTGGGCAACAAAGCGAGACTCTGTCTAAAAAAAAAAAAAAAAAAAAGTGACTTTTACTAAATATAAATTCAAGTATTTATGCTGTAGGTAAAAATAAACCCATACACAGTACACAAACTATGCTTTATCTATTAAAAATACAAACTTATTAAAACAGAAGGATCTGACATAGATCAAGGATGATGGTACCATGAACTGCAAAATACAAAAAACTCAGCTGTCCTCATCTGATGGCCATAAATGGAGATGGTCCATAAAGGCAGAAAGAAAGAAAAGACCAAGAATTGATGGAACAGAATAAACAAGGTCATTTTATTGGCTAAGAAGCTAGTCCACAGCTCAGAGAGGCTACAATGGAAAGATCTCTGCTTTAAAATCACTAACAATACCATACCATGTTTAAATTAAAAAAGAAAACCAAACACACAGCAAGAGAAAAGTGAAAAAAGAAAGCAAGGTTATCAGCATCTCACTTGCTTTCTCATTCACTAACACTACACTCCGATGACCAAGGTCAACATTCAAAACCAGATAATTCTGACTGTGGTCATCATCAGCTTGGTATAAAACATGCAAATATTAGCCAGGTGAGGGCCTGGAGGAACACAGCACCACTCCAGATGCTAAATAACATCTCAGGGAAACTGAATTTTGTAATAAGCACACAAGTGTCCAAGGCAGAGTCACAAACTTCCTATTAAGACACTGTTCGGTGAGTGAGTGGTCCCCTTTCCTTTGAGGGATCCACTGCTTTACTGCAGAACGCTGAGTTTATGGTGAACACCAGACTAGCAAGGGTCACAGTCAACGCTCATGTAAATAATCCCTGCTATGAGCAAGCTTCTGCAGCCCATACGGTTCCGCCTTTTGTCCTTTCTCATGCCTGAACAGAAGTAACCAGAAAAGCATCTTTCAGACACCATCCTCCCCAGATGCTGTGTGAAATTCCACAGCCTTACAGGCAAAGGCTGGACAGCCCCACAGAAAGCCACCGCCCCAAATCTGGGAACATCCTGCTCAGGGTGCTGGCCAAGTCCACATCTATATGACCACAGAAGTCACAATGGGCACAACCGTGGTCCCTGAAGTTCTCTGTCCAAAATACCCTTGGGGGTATTCGCAGAGTCCCAAACATCAGCCCTAAAAGTAC